TTCAAATAATCAATAGCCCTACTTTTTTTTGGGGGGGCTATATGGTAGTTTGTACTGTGTCAACTTAGGTGAAGCTGGAGGTGCCTTTTCCAGGAGTCTTTTCCTTATCTGGTGTCAGGTTAGACTTGCACAAGGGGCAGACAGAGGTAAAGCAGCAGTCACTTCCCTCCAAAGGTCTTTGAGGACAGATATAGTAAAGGACGTGCGCAAAGGCATCTAGTGGGCTCTATCCTGCCCTCATTCTTTTCCACGCCACATCCACTCTTCCTGACCAGCAGGGGGCCCCAAGCCCATGTGTGAAGTTGGCTGCAGCATCACCGAGCACTAGCTACACAGAAGTCACACTTCCCCGCAGACTTCTACACCAGCTCTCCTTCCCAGTCTCACTTCAGCACCTGGATGGCACCTCAAGCTCCAATTCGTTTACCCAGCGAGGCGTTTCAGGGAGGCTGAAAGGTGCCTTTTCTCTCACACTCCAAATCTTCCTTCCAGACCAGTACTTTTCAGTTCCTTCCACAACTTCAAAAGGCCTGTTATTTATAACAAACCTCTTATTCCATAATATTCATAGCAGTTTTGCTTTGCTGATTAAACCCTGTTTGATAATGTTTGTTCTACTAAATATTTAGAATATAATGTATTTGCCTTAATTTCTGGCCAGTGTGCACTTTTCTTTTCTTGAATATATTGGCAAAAGTGAACATATTTAATCTTTCTTCTTCTTCTTTGTAGAAACTAAAGGTCTAGGGCGCTTAGGTGGTAAGATCTCAACTACTACACGCCACAGGGTTAGAGCAGTTCTACAAATTTGGAAATCCTGACTCTACACACCTTGTCATACTTCCCTAATGGGCTGGACCGACAAATTAATGTTGAGAGTTATATAAAAATGCTTTAGGTCGGGGAATTTGGCATCTTATGAAATTCTCATCAGTCTTATCCTTCCCCCAAAAGGAACCCTGGAGATTTTAAAAGCTTCTCTCCCAGGACTCTGTTTCTAGAGATCTGTGAGAGGACCTAGAGACACGCTTTTCTAACAAGCAGCCCAGATAATTTTGATGAAGGTGGTTGTGTACTTCTTCTTGGAAAAGCTGTGACTAGAAAAAAAAAGTGGAAACTATTTCAACATACTAGTTTTCATACTAGTTTTGGGCCTTTCTATTCATCCGTATCATGTTCCAAAGTAGAAAAAAAAATAGACAAAACAACAAAAACTACCACTTTCTCCAATTTTTCTGGATCATCCAGCTTCTTAAAGGAATTTTCATCTCTAAATGTGCTAAGCATGTAATTTCCTGAACTAAATGTGCTATACATATATATGTTAACATTTCTAAATGACAACAAAAATGACTTAAAAACTTAAGAGTACTCAAATTAAACAAAAAATTATATTAACATTTTACTGTAAGAATAAATTGAGTTTATGTCAAAATGAAGTTTAAAATTAAGTATTACTTTATTCACTCTGTGTGAATTCGAATCTCTTGAGATTTATGTACGTGTTTCTTACGACAACTTTCCCTGCATACCTGCATATCCTCCTCCCTGGAAAAAAAAAAAAAACACGTGGAAGAAAGAAAGAAAAGAAAAAGGAGCACTTATTTTCTGATTTTCTGGGTTAACACCCAGGCAGATATCTTATGCATAGCAGATGTAGCTACTCAAAGGTTTTGGGGGGATGTATCTCACACATATTAAACCACACTATTCTTTTTAACATTTTCACCAATTTTTACATAATGCTGGAATAAATGACTTAAAAATAGAAAAGTCAAAATTTGTCTAGAAAAAGAATAACACAATAGTTACAGCGATTCATTCAGACTTCTAAGCCTCGCCAATGTTACTCCTTGCAATGCTATTTTCCTTAACAACATTCAATTATGTAACTATTATCAATTTAAAAAATATGAAAGAAGGCCTTTCAAAACAGTAGATTCCCTTTTTGAATGAACAGTACAACTTCCTCACCTTCAACTGGAGTCAATCTACAGAGATCCATGGCTACCCACAACATCTGACACTACAAAGTCAGCTTGGAATCTAAGTTTTACTTTTAACACATATTACTTATCAAGTCGAAATTTCTTTAGCTCTTCTTTCACCCTCATTAGATGGCTTGGGAAAGAGACATGCCTCTTACACTCTCAGCTGCACTGAGCCTCCTCAGAACGCCTCTATCTCCCATGGACACAGGATTCATAAGGCAAGAACTCTCTTTTCTCCCTCCTCCTCCTCTTCCACCTCTTTCTCCTCCTCTACCCCTTCCTTTTTTCCTTTTCCCTTGTCCTCCTTTTCTTTTCCACTTTGATAACTTGCTTAATGGCTTGGTTAAAAGAAGAACATTAAAGCCAAGAGTTGTCATTATATGCCACAAAAATAAGACAGCATTCCATTTAACTAAGAAACTCCCTTTTTGATGGATTCCTCTGAAATAAATGTTTTCAAGTGGATTCAGCTTCTCATGTGCAAAGAAAAATTGATGAAGGCAAGGATGAGAAAGGACGTTTGAAAAGAATTAAGTATTGTTTTGGCTTTGGCACTTAAAATTTTATTTTACATAAAATCTCAAATGTTCCCTGGAACATTTCTGGGGGAAAAAAAAAACAACTGTGGGTTTGATTGGAGAATAAAATCACCTGCCATGCTGGTCAATAGCAACTTCTGTTTGGTATCCAGGTGCCCTTAATTCAGACCTCACATAACAACCAATGGGTTTAATTAGATGAGAGAAATATAACTGAATTGGTTTGGCCTCTGATTTTGGTTAGCAAGCTTTCATGAAAGTGAGGGATACTTGTATTTCGTTTTACAATCTGTAAAACGAAGAGAAACTTCTTGGTAGGAAATTTAAAGGTGAATGTAAAATATCTATCAATAACATTTTAAAAAGAAAGTATCTATAAATCATAGGAATTATTTACTTATCTTAATTTCCTTCCTTGCTAGTTGTTCCATCAACTCTAGAAACCCAACACTTGGGTTGGTTTATTTTAAAACTGCAGTGTACAGATAACTTTGTGAGTTAAATTTGTCTTTATTCATTTTACAATCTAGCTCTATAGACACTTTTAAGTCCTAAAAATTAAAGTTTATATCCAAGAAACTAATTTCCATGCTCTTTCCTATTTTTATTAGAACCCAGGAAGGAAGCAATATGAGCTGCGTGCAATGCACAATATTGTACTGACACAGAGTTTGACTTGACAAACCAAATATACTGCATCTCTGGCTTATTTCATGGTCACCCTGAAGGGTTTTCTCAGGAAGGAAATGAAATCCACATATGAAATTATCTTTCACTAATGGGAAAATTTCTAATTACCCAAAAATGTTCGTAAAGTCTACCTAGTAGATGACAAATCAGTACTACCTACACTGGGGTAACTGTCCTACAGTTTTATAAAATCCATAATCCCCAGTTCTAAATGCTTATTATTGGTCAGTAGTTTAATACCATCTGTCATATATTAAATGCTGGAAATGCCATAAAAAATTATTAGTATTATATAATGAAACACTATTTTAAAAAATATTGTGATAAAGTTTATTCTTATGAATGTGGTTAAAAAACACTACACTTTTGGAAGTGAATTGTAATTTCAAACTAGAGATTCAAATATTATATAATTTGACTGTATCTCTCACTCTAGAAGTAATGTGTGTGTGTGTGTATAAGCAATATTTTTTTAAAGTAAAAGAATAAGAATTGTACCATACCACAGGCCTAGATTTGAGAGGAATAATTCAACAAACATATTTTTTTCACTTAGCTGTCAAGTCCATCACCTCATTCTTACTTGGTTGATCCTCTTTTGGTATTAAACTCTGTGGTTGTTACACCGACAGTTTCTCTAACATAAGCTTCTGTTTGAGATGTTATATCACATCGAATTAGCAACCAACAATATGACTTCTCGTGTGTCAAAGGCATAGGAACAAGGCACTCAGCATCGTACAAGGTGATACATCAATAGAAAAGGTTTGTAAACTTGTTAAAAGATTTGAGATTGTTTTAAAGTAAAGAGATCACATTTCATAAATAACTTGTAACTAACTTATACAAATAGCTAGTGCTCAAAAAGTTTCATGATGCAAAATAGGCATTCCAGAAGAAAACTGATTTTTAAAAAATAATTCAACAATTTTCTAGATTAAGGTAAATAAATTAATATACATTGTCTTGAATTCTTTAACTATTAAGAAAACACATTTACTTCTCTACAATATCTTTATTTGAAGACCTGAAACAATCTAACACCTTTCTAATGGTGTTTTCCAGGTAAGACAATCCACAGTCTTGAAACTACTGTGACTGAAATGTTATCTTTAAGAATAGAATTGTTGTTTTTCTGTTGAAACTCAAAAGTTCAGTCTCTTGAAAAAATGAATTCTGCATTTATCAGGAAGGACTGAGATTCTGATGGAAGTTTAACTTATTCAGGACAATTTCAGGAACAAACCCCCACTATCATATGTGAGTTCTTGAATATGTGAGTTTTCTTACATCATCTGATTTTGGTTTTTATTTGCACATTTTAAAATGGCAGGTTATACATATCTGGCAGCCTCTTTGCTCCTTTTCTTTTCGTCCCAACATTTTTCTTGATGGGAAGGAGATATAAAACAACCCTATAGAAGACCGTAACAATATGTAGATGCACTGGAAAGTGATGGGACAGCCCAAGTCCAGCGTTTCATTCTGAACTGTGACATTCCATGATTTCCCAATATTCTGATTCTAAATGTACTTTCAACAATCATTTACAGGACTTCAGAAAATGGTATCTGCAAAGGGCCCAGCCAATGAAACAGAGAAGTGGTACTCTTCCAACATCACAGAGTTGGCCTCTATAAAAGTGTATAAAACGTTGAGTTTAAAAAAAGAAAGAAAGAAAGAAAGCGTAAAACTGACATATGGCTTCTGGCCTCTGGCCTGGAACCCAGGGGAAAAAGTGAAGTGATACATACAACCAGCTGCTAGCTGGTTATGCTGATTAGGTTGTTGATCCAGCCAGATTTACTTTGCTTTCCTCAATCATGAAATGCTTGGAAAAGTCTTTGGAATTAAGTCCCAAGTTCTCTTTTAATTTTTTGAGCTCAAAGTCATGGAGAATCTTGACAGTCATTAACTTTTCTCGCTTGATTCTCTCCACAACATCTTTTGGAACATCAGGTATCATCCAGGCCAACAGAAATTTAACTAAAAACACAACGTGCTAGAGGAAATATAAAGGAGAATTAGACATTGTTAGAACTGTTGAGTGTTCAGCTGGAAGTCCTTACAAATCATTTATTTCACTCATGCAATCAACTGTGCCTGAAACATGAAGTACAAGGGCAAGCAAGAAGACATGGTCTCTGTTCTAGAACTTTCAGACAAAGACCCAAATTAAACAAACATTTACTTAAATAGGCAATTAGTGAGATTCAAGTTGAACATGATTACCCTCATGATACCCCCTATCTGTGCGCCCTCCTGAAAACCTGACAAAATATTTGTAAGGGAATTAGACTCAAAAGAGTGAAGAAAGTTGGCACTGAAACTTGCAATTGGGGACATGGTGATTGATAGTGGAAACCAAAAAGACAAAAGCCAGTTTTGTTTTAGATCCTCAGAAAAGTTCAGGAAAGAAGGTACTAAGGACTTTTGGAGGCGTTACTGTGGGGTAGAGTTGAAAACAAGGGGATTAGTTAAAAATTTGTGTAAGGACCACTTGAATTTCCAGAGCCTTTCTCCTATCTGTATCTAGGTACTACCTCTCTGCATATCCCACCCTGAAGCAGCTGAAGAGTTCATTTTCTGCAGAAATTATACTAGAAAGCTGTAAACTCAGTGGGGTCATACATAGCTGAGGATGAGGATGTGGAACTATATTAAAAACAAAATCATGAAAAAGTAAAGTTCAGCATACCAAATTGTGAAATCCTTAAGTACCCTCTGCCTTGCTCAGTTCTCAGAACATAGGCAGCCATAAAATATCTCAATAGATGGGAGGTTGGAGGATTTTTCTCTGGGGAAGATTAACTAGTCTGTGAAAGCAAAACTACAGATACCAAAGTTTTACAGGTCTCCAATGAAAAGGTTGGCTCACTACCTCATCATGCTACAGTGAAACCCACCAAGTAATATCTCTCCTGCACGCACCCAAAGATTATAATCAGCTTTTCACTGCCTCACTCTTAAACGTGAGCAGAACCAACAAATATGGAGGAAAGTCTCTAACATGAAAGAAAAACAATGAAGTAAACAGGAACTAAGAGAAAACAGAGATAATGAAGGCAGCAAAAAAAAAAAAAAAGTAGAATAAAAACAAAGATACTAACCCATCTCTTCATAGGAGAGAAAATACATGATAATTAGAATTCCAAAACAGGAAGTATAATATCTGAATATGAGAAGTTCCAGAAAGATAGAAGGAAAAGTTTATCAAATAAATAATACAAGCAAAATTTCTCAATCTGAAGAGTATGTTTTAAGATCCAAGGGACTCAGTGAGAGTGCAAAACAATGAATATTGTCCAATAGCAAGGAACTGTCTTTTAAAGTTTCATAGAAATGGAGCTAGTGAGAGAATCCTATAAGCTTATTATTTCTAAAAATATATTGTAAACAAAGACTGGGTCATCAGAATAGTACCGTTTTACAACACTGGAAGCGGAAAGAAAATGGAGAAATGTCTTCAAAATTTCAGGAAAACCTAAATAAAGTTAATTAAAAAAATTTCGAGGGAAAAACTTTCAATCTTAAATTTTATTCCAAATAATCATGTGTAAGGAAAGAAAATAAATTTTCAATAATCAAGTTCTCAAAAATTGACTGCCCATAATTTTCCTCAGAAAATTACTAGAAGATGTGCTTCACCAAAATAAGCTATTAAGCCAAGAATAAGAGGTACACAGATTGCAGAAAATAATAGCACTCGACAGAAGAGAGGTGAAGACCCAGGATGATGTTAGGTTAGAGCCTGGAATGATTATAAAAAATTGATAAGAATAATAAATAAAAACAAAAATTTAAACAAAGGAATTCCTGATGCAATTTAGTGGACTAAAAAGGGAACTAAGGTTCTGATGGAATAAAAGAGTGATAATTCATAAAGAACAAGAGACAGAGAGAGAGAAAGAGAGAGAAACAAAGAGGAAAAACAATATAATAAGGGAAATATATGAAGAGTATGATACATGAAACAGATATGACTAATATTTATAAAGCCATAATTTATAAACCCTATTGTACTTACCTACAATCTCTTACTCAAAGCTCTGATGGACAGAAATATTTCAGAATTGAGATAATTAAATATTAAAAATATGTAATTTAGTATATAAACCATATATCAGCAGGGTCTGAAGCGGCACTTTGTATTAAACACTTAAATATTTCTGCAGTAAAATAAATGGTCACTCTACAAATAGCCTTTTGTTTTGTTTTGTGAGAGTCTCACTCTGTTGCTCAGGCTAGAGCGCATGGCATCAGCTTAGATCACAGCAACCTCACATTCCTGGGCTCAAGCAATCCTCCTGTCTCAGCCTCCCCAGTAGCTGGGACTACAGTTGGGCACCACTATGCCCGGCTTATTTTTTCTATTTTTAGTAGAGACAGGGTCTCACTCTTGCTCAGGCTGGTTTTGAACTCTGGAGTTCAAGCCATCCTCCTGCCTCGGCTTCCCAGACTGCTAGGATTACAGGCGTGAGCCACCACACCCGTCCTACAAATAGCCTTAAATCATACCAGATTGGGTATTGCTGCTAATTAAGTTGCCAAAATACTTTGTATTTTCTGAGGTTTGGGATTTCAGAATAAGAAATTATGGACCTGTATAAACAAAAAATTATACTGTCATTATATTGAGAGGTAGGAGAAAGATAAAGTCTCAGTGTGTGTATGTGCACAGGTGTGTGTGTGTGTGTGTGTCTGTGTATGTGGTGTGACATGTGTGAGATGTGCCATAACAGGAAGTCAGTGATTAACATCTAAAACTAAAAAGGCATAGCTGCAAAATTATGTTGTTTTGCTATACAGAGCTAACTATTAGAAGAATGAGTTTAAAAAGTTGAAATGTTTGGCTTTGGAGATTAGGATTTGAGAATAGGGAGGAATATTACATAGGACTGCTCTCAGATTTAGCCATGTAGAGAACTATTTGATTACATGCATAATCTTGGTAAAAATAAAAATAAATTAAACAGAAACTGATTAGAATTGCATGTGCTTGGGTTAGAACTGTTAATTATTGGAATTTACTGCAGGTCGAAAAGGTGCCTTATTTTTATTTCTCTCTCCCTTATTGGCCTTCCTAATTTATGATTTGTAGCAGTCAATTTGAAACTTAGTCAAATACCCACCCTCCTCTGTTCTTGCATGCCTTATCTCCATAATTATATGGGGGACTTCACAAGAGGGGAAGCAAAATATAGTAGACACAGCATAGGCTGGGGAATGAGACATATCTGGCATTGAAACCCAGCTGTAATATTAGCTGATTAACCTTAATCCAACTACTGATTTTTGCAGAATATAGGGTTCCTTTTTCAAAGGTAAGTAATAAAGTCTAACTTATAAGGTGGTTATGACTTAACTTCTGGAAGTAGAACATAATCGACATTCTGTAAAATCAGTGAGTGGGTTCTTTACCCTTTCTTGACCTCAAGGGAAGAGACCATATTTTTCCTTTCCTTTTCTGTCACTACGGTATCTTCAACAATAGTCCCTGAATAACAGATAACCCACTGTACTGTGAACATACCTAAGATGTTTTTTATGACAACAAATATTTCCTTCAAAACAATTCATTGAGATAATGCTAACTTTGTGATGAGCAGATAGCTTTAGAAATACCTGCCTACAGGGAGAAGAGAGTAACTCGCATGAAAGTTAAGAGGAGCTTACTTCTATAACTATGATGAAGGTCATCTTAGCAGCGAGGACATGCCAGAATTGCATATTATGAAAATATTTCTTCTCATGATCAGGAGGATATCTGTAATCTCTGTACCTGAAAAATGAAAGTAAATGCAAAAATATTAGCTATAGCTTCAACTAGAGAGATCTAACATAAATTCTTATTATTTCTCTTAAGAGACCCTTCTAGTTGACCACAAAAGGTAGGTCATAGGAAGGTAACTGATACTATGAACAATTTATCTTTCTTTCTTACATAAAATTACAGCCATCTGCTACTTGTGTGCATACACTAATAGATATAATAGAAAACACACAAGTGAAACTTCTCTCCTGCCAAGAAAAACTTCTCAAAAGAGTTACCACTATTTGCTGTCTACATTTCCTCTTTTCCTACTTCTTAACATACTTCGTTCTATCCCTGGCTCCACCAAACCAATTGTCTCCTGTCATTAAATTGAAGGAATATTTTAATTCTCATCAATTTTTGATATTTCAAGAATGGGACTTAATATTTCTGATCACTTCTATTTTCTTTTCTTTTTTTATTGCTTGAACTTTTATTTATTTATTAACTTTATTTCAGCACATTACAGGAGTACAAATATTTAGGTTACATATATTGCCTTTGCCCTACCCGAGTCAGAACTTCAAGTGTGTCCAGACCCCAGACCCCACTCATTAGGTATGAACATACCCATCCCCTCCACCCATGTCCCACCTGCCCGACTCCTGATATGTTACTACTATATGTGCACGTAAGTGTTGATCAGTAAATTTCTTGAAACTCTATTTTCTCTTGGCTGCTCTGACACTGTGTTACTTTGCTTTTCTTACAACCTTTCCGGAGTTTTCTTAGTGCTCAACTTTGTAAGCTCATTCTATTCTACAAAGTCACTGCATATTGATGCTCTTCAACAATTTAGCCCAACTTGGAAATGATGACAGTGGCCATGCTCTTAAATAGTAGGCTATGATTCTCTATAATCAAATACGGAATATAACAATGTTTCATCTGCCTTGCAACATTTTGCTCTTTCTTTGTTGGAATCCCAAATTAAGCAGTTGATTTAAGTTAAGGGGCCTTTGTGTGTGTGTGTGTATCTTTAAATAGTGTAGCAAAAAGATCCTCATAGTACATTTGACATTTTACTTTTCCAAATAAGAATCATATGATGTGTTAATTCTAGAATTGATGTACTTTATTTAGCCAGGATTTTCGTTGCCTCAAGTAAATCCTTTACATTGTAAGATGTGAAGGAAATGGATAACTTAATTAAAACCTTAACAAACAAAAGGAAACCTGCAAGTGGTGAAGTCTCGGTTTTCCCAAGGTACAGTAGTATTTGGAAAATCAGCTATCAGGAATACTGACAAGCTGTTATTCACATATCCTTTCATAGGCTGCATGGCATCTGTTGAGTAGGCATAGTAGTAAACTAAACGAGGAATGATGTCCGATGTAAATGCAACAATAAAAGCCTGAAGAACAAAGCAAAATGAAGATCGTGAGCTGCCAATCTAGTTTTAAACATGTCTGATTTGTGTATCTCTCAGTCTCATAAACCAGATAATGCAAAATGATTAAAATACTATCACAAATCACATTAATATGCAAGTCTTTGGCTTAAAACATGAAATGGATCATTCACAGTATGTGATTAGTATTCCTAGATTTCATAGCTACAAAGTGGCTAAGTAGATAATTGGATCTAAACGTACCTGTCTCCAGGAACCACACTCTTTCTACCATGTCTTGCTAGTTCTCACTTTCTTATTGCTTCACAGCACAGTTCTACTATTCTCAATCACATTCACCTGCCTGGGCCAACGCCATAAGCTAGGACTGTGTGTGTGTGTGTGTGTGTGTGTGAGAGACAGAGAGAGAAGGAGGTTGATGGGGTGGAAATGGTGAGACAGAAGACCATGTGTTTGTAAATTTCTCACAGTTCACTGTAGCTAATTTCAGGATTTGATTCCATAGGAATGGTATTTTCACATCCTTTCCTAATCTCTGGAATAGTATAAAGATGTCTCTTTTAGGTTACTTAATTCAATTAAAAACCATCTGGCTCTGGAACTTACGGTTTTAATGGTACATTTTAAAAAGCATTCCATTACCTCTATGGCTAAAGGTCTATTTAGGTATCACTTATTAAATAAATTTTGCAATTTTTATTTTTTAAAAAAGTAGTCATTTCAAAGAAATTTTAAAATTTATTGGAATAAATGGGTACATAGAAGTCTCAGAGTTTCACTTGTTCTATTTGTCTTTTCCACAAACCAACTCTTGATTTACTTAGCAATTATATTGCTTTGTATTTGTTTTCTAATCTGATTATTTCTGATTATATCTTTATTCTTTTTTACTACTTTCTATTGATGTACTTTAAATTTTCATTAGTGTCTTAAGTTACATGCTTAGCTCATGTTTTCCAGTATTCCTTTATTAAAAAAAATAATAAAAGCGTTTATGTCTATGGACTTTTCTGTAACAGTGGTTTTAGCTCATTTCTATAGGTTTGCATTTAAGTTAAGCTCTTTCTATAATTTCAATTGTTTCCTCTTACATGAATCTTACTTAGAAGGTTAAGGTTAAGTGGTTGGATTTTCTTTTTTGATACTTATTACCAACTTCAATTTTTAAAGTATTATTGTAGGTGAATATGCACTGAAAATTTTCTACTTTTGGTAATTTAGTTTTATCATTTTTAAATAAGTGCTCTATGAACCTAACAGGAAAATGTTGTATACTCTATGTTTGTAGTATACAAATTCAAGTATAATTCATCTTTAATTGGATTAATATTATTCAAATTCTTTACGCCATCACTTATTTTCTGTCTACTTTGTCACATGCTATGAAACCGTGTCATGATATTTAATGATAGTAATTCTAAAATTTTTTTCTTTAATTTCTAATAGTTTGCATGTCATAGGTTTTTCTGTATTGGTTAGTGCATAAAAGTTCAGGAATGTTTTATCTTTATGGAATGCCACTATGATTAAATCAATGTAAATAAAGATTGGGTTCAGCATCATCCACATTTTCCCATCCCCAAATAATAAAATACAAAGTCACCCTACTGAAATAGGTCTACTTACATTAGTTGCAACCGAAAGTACAGCCATTCCATAAAGAATGTCTTGCCAAACACCTATGCTATGAGCTTTAGAAGCTACAGTTCTCCTGTACTGAGTAGTAAGTTTCCAGGCATCCACTCGAATCTCTACTATATTATTTATGAGAGCAAGAAGAGGAGCCAAGGGAAAAGAGGCCACAAATAGTGTAACAAATCCAAATTGAATAACTGCGGAGAAAAAAAAAAAGTATGAACGCGTGAAAGGGAAAGAGGGGAACACCCTGCCCAACTTTGCCACTTTCTTTGTCTTGGAGGGGTCCACGTTGGTAAAACAATCCAGACCCCTTTCTACGGTCCACTTCCTCACTTAGGGACTTATCTGCTTGCTCGAATGAGGAGAATCTAGGCATGCATAGCTGACACCCTTCCTTGTTCTTCCTCTTCAGCTATATTTGTCTAAAGAAAGAATCTATTCTTCTGTGTCTTTTCTTAAGGGCTAAGTTTAGTTTTATGCTGGTCTAGTCTTTACATGTGTATTGCCATATTAGTGGGGTAAACAAGTTTTTCTCTATTGCTAATCTATGTACTTTTTATGATCAAGGATGATGATGAATTTGTTTATATGATTCCAGTATCCAGCAGGTGTGTATGTATGTGTGTTTATACATATAATTTGTATATGGGCAAAAACATATATATTTTCTGGAATAAAATATCTGTTAAGGTCCTGATCCTCAATACTATCTTGACATATTTTAAAATAAATTTTACTTTCTCCTTATTAAGATTTAACAGGGGACTACAGCTGGGTAAGCTGGTTTCTCTCCTCATTTTTGTCCCTTTGTTTCCAACAATGAATTCTTGGAGTAAAAGAATCCATGCAAATAACAGTTTGGGCTTCCCGTGAGTGAAGAAAAAAACAATAAGAGATATGTGCATGGCTTTCCATTAAAGGGGGAAAGAATGAATATTCCATTAGCCCTCTATTTTTAAATCAATCTCAAATGTTTCTGGATTTTAGCTTTCTCATAAGACTAAATCAGTCTTGTTATCAAGTGAACAAATACATACTGACTCCCTCCTTTCCTGCTTTCTCTACTAAACCAAAAGACAGAAAATGAATAGGAAGTATTATGTAGAAGCAGCATGAATTTTTTAAGTTTGAATCTCTAATCTCTACCTAAAATCTTTGTGGCCTATGGAAATTTTAATTAAACTAAATTTTATTAAAGTTTCAGAACCCTCAAAAATAAAATATGTCGAATAATGAATACTCTGCAGAATTGTTTTAAAATTAAATATAATGTACGTAAAGTTTCCAGAATAAATTAACTTAGTTGTGTCTCAATGTATTAACAGTAGTTAATGTTGTTAGGAAACTTTGATTTCATCTTTTATTAGGTTATTAAGTATGGAATGTCCAATTTCCTTAAGTTCTAAGTTTGACAGTTGATATCTCTGACATTTCACTTTGACATTTATTTTTTTTGTTATTGTGAAGGTACATCCTTATTATTTCAAATCACGTTTTGGCTTGTGATTATCTTTCAAATTTTTTTAGAGCAATTTTTGTGAAACCATGGATAAGTCAAAAATTCATGTTATTTTTGAATATGAGTTTTGTTGTGGAATCAATACAGTGCAGACAGCTGAAAATATCAATAAAGTGTTTGGGAAGGATGTGGCTTATGAATGCTCAGTATGTTGAGGGTTTAAGAAGTTCCATTCTGGTGATTTTAATCTTGAAAATGAGCCACGTGGGTGACCTGAGACCAAGGTGGATAATGATGAACTGAAAGCTATAGTGGAAGCAAATCCATCTCAACCTATGTGTGAATTAGCAGCAAGGTTTGACATTACTATTCCAACAATATTTGACCATTTAAAACACATGGGCAAGGTAGAGAAGCTGGGTGGATGGGTACCGCATGAATTAAACAAGCATCAGAAGAGAAATCGTCTGGAAGCTTGCCTTTCTTTGCTGTCACAACATAAAGGTGAACCATTTCTACACTCTATTGTTATGTGTGATGAAAAATGGATTTTTTTGACAATCACAAGCAATAAGCACAATGGCTTGATAAAGATGAAGTGCTGAAACAGAGTCCAAAACTGAATATTCATCAAAAAAAGCTAATGGTGTCTGTTGGTAGTCCAGCGCTGGTATTATCCACTACAGCTTCATGAAACCTTGTCAATCGATTACAGCAGATGTCTACCACAACCAGTTGGATGAAATTATGAGGATGCTTTAGATTAAGCAGCCGAGATTGGTCAATAGAGGCAGGCCAATCCTCTTGCAAGACGACATGTCCCAAAAAACAACACTGCTCAAACTATAGCAGACTTGGGAACTCTCTGTCAGTTGGTGCAGTTGGTGCAAGAGCCATCCGTATTCACCAGATCTTGAACCAACTGACTACCACTTCTTCCAGGCTTTGGAACACTTCTTGCAAGGAAAAATACTCAATTCTCAACAAGCTGTGGAAAACGCCTTTCAGGATTTCATTGCCACTACCTCTCCAGGCTTCTTCGCTGTTGGCATAAGCAAGCTACCACTGAGATGGCAAAACTGTGTTGATAGTTTAGGTGCATACTTTGATTAATTGTACTGCTTCTTGCTTGAGATATAATTAACTAAACTTTTGATTCAAAATCAGACATTTCATATTTAAGTACCTAGTAATTTTGGTAGTAATCTCTGATGCATGCAGGTACAAATTCATTTGCAACTTACACAAATAAAAATTATAGCCTTATCACCCCAAAACAAGGACTAATTTTACAACCAAAGCTGTATAAATTAGACTTCTATTTGTCCTAAATTTACCTATTTCAATCAATGTATCACATGTATGTATTACACTGGTGAATCACTAACAGTTTCAGGTCATCTCATTTATTCCACCATGGTGTTAACAGTCTTGAGAGTAAGTTTAGAAAATTGACTTCCTTAATTCCACCAGAGAAACAGAGAAAATCGCTTGAGAGTAAACACTGCGCAGACTATATACGCAGTTCCTAGCATTATCTCTCCTAAAATTTGTTCTCAAAGTTTCTTCTCTATTCAATCCTTGAAATATCTTAGGCATTTCCTGTGCTTAGCTTGGGTTTTCCTTATATAATGGCTTTTAGCTTTCTTATTTTCAGCCTGACATAAAAACATACACTAAATGCATGTCAGACTCTGAAAACGTTTTCCAGCTTATTCTCTCTCTGAGCTGTCGCTGAGGCAAACAAAAGGAGAAATAGTCATTAAAGCTAATTTGAGACAGGTGTTAAAAAGTGATTCTTGCTTGATTTCCTTCAACAATATTAACATTCTTTTGATAGGACAATAGCTCTAAGGTGTTTTGAAACTAAACTTTATTCTGCATTCTATTTGCTGGGACAGGGAAATAATGAACCAATCTTCTCCATATGCATCCATCCATGTTTTTATTGACCGTCCAATGATTTATTGAACACCTACTATGTGCATGGAGAAAGAAATATCAAGAGCTAAAAAAACCCCTCTTTTTATTCAGGCTGACTCTATGTTTCAGAACAGTGGCTGAAAATTACCTGTTTCTAAGTATTCATAGAATAGCCCAAGGGGTCCAAAACGTTCAAGGTCATGATCCTGCTCCCATCGACTGTATAGTTTCTCAGAGTTGGTCCGAGCTTTTCGGCGTCTCCACCAATTCAAAACCAACCTGTTGGAAGTGATAAAAATAAATACATGAAACAGAGCTAGAAAGAAAAAGGTCAGAGAATCAATCAGAGTATTAAATCCAGAAATTGGCAGAAAGAGAGGTTAAATAACTGAAGATCACAGAGCATGGAGAAATAAGACTCCAGCTAAACTCCAAATCAAACTCTAGTGCTCTTTTCACAACACGTGGAAGTGGAAGTGAAGAGTTCTCTATTAGGGTGATTAAGAAAATAAGACAACCCTGAGTCTGTTCATAGAAATATACTATTTTACATTCACTCAGAGATAGTTCAGTTAAAGAGCAAGTAGAGGTCAGGGTCACTACTAGGACTACTTACTAACTTTTATACTGTCTTGATGCTCAGAAGGAAACTCAAGGAAATGGGGGAATTGATTATAATAGGAAATATATGAAAAAGAAAATGCAGATACTTATCTAACATGTGAAAATAAATGCATTAACAATGAATAAGTATTTACTAGCTAAATGTCATATTATACAAAAATATATCATAATGTTAGATTACTTTGAAGAATAAGTTTTTTAAAATTAGCAAATCAATGAATGCAATAGATCAAATTGACAGATTTAAGGAGAAAAATATAAAATCATCTCAATTGATGGAGAAAAATGTATTTCATATATTTCAAGCACCTATTAAAACCTACTTATGACAGAAGAGTAAATATAAGAAAATTATCTAGTAAAATCCTGGGGCAAACATCATTCTTAAAAGGGAAAAGTCAAAAGCATTCCCTTTAGAATCAGAACAAAATAAGAATTTGCATGATCACATTCAAGACTCTACTGTACATCATAGCCAATACAATTAGATGAAAAAAGGCAAAAGAATTAGAAGTAAAGGAGAAATACATGATTATTAACAGTGACATGATTGTGTAGAAAACCCAAGTGACATTAGACAAAACTTATGAGAAATAACAATAGGGTTTATCAACATATTTCATTTCTATATATCCACAACACACAAGTAGAAAACATAATTTTTTAAAAGATGTCATTTACAATAGCAACTGAAAAGTGCCTAGAAATGGATTTGACAAAATATTTATAAGACCTAATATAGAAGTTTAAAATCTTTATTTGAAGTTGATGAAGTCCAAAATAAATGTTCCTGAATAGAAGATTTGATATTATAAAAAGTGATAATTGTTTATATTGAAATAATTAAAATGCAATTTTAATCAAAAAGCCAAAGCAGGCTGGGTGCAGTGGCTCATGTCTGTAATCCTAGCACTTTGGGAGGCTGAGGTGGGAGGACTGCTTGAAGCCAGGAATTTGAGACTGGCCTGAGCAAGAGTGAGAGCTTGTCTCCAAAAAAATAGAAAAAT